TGCCTTGACTCCCAGTCTGCCAGTATGTTGTTTTTGCCTGGTATGTGAACTGCATGTATTCTTATTGATTTTTCTAAAGCAAAGTCCCATATTGATTCTATTATTTTGCTAACTACCAGAGATACAGTACCTTCTTGATTGTTTAGATAGGTTACTGTAGTAAGATTGTCTAACATCATTCCTATTAACTTTTCTGAGGGTCCTTGAGGTATTTGAGTACTTTGAATACTGCTAGAGCTTCCAGGGCATTGATATGAAGATTTTGCTCTATTGGTGACCATTTTTCAGAAATGAGTCAATTTTCTAGAACCGTTCTCCAACTAGTGCGGGATGCATCTGTGTAAATTGATATTTCTGGGAGTTGCTGTAATATTGCTATCCCGTTCTATTTCTGTAATTCGTTTATCCACCATGTTATTTGTGCTCTGCTCTCAGTTGATAGTGTAAGCATAGAATCCCATCCATATTTTTTTAAAGTAATATTTTTGTCAGATAACAGGGCTCAAGACCTTAAATGTGCTAGAAATACTGCATTTGTGATAAATATAAGTTTTCCAATAATAGATACAAGTTTTCGAATATGAATTTCTTGCTTTTTAAATATGGATTGACATTCCCGTATTGTATCTTTGATTTTGTAATGAGGAAGAAAATTGTCATATTTTTTAAATCTATATAAAAACCAAGATATTCTAGGGCATTTGTTGGAACCAACGATGATTTTTTGTTGTTAATTGTAAAACCCAATAACTGTAGATAATTTAAAGTAAGGTCTTGGTGTATTATAGCTTCCTTTTCTGAATCTGCAATGATCAAAAGGTCATCTAAATATGCTATAATTCGAATACCTTGAGATTTTAGATATTTCATAGGGGTTTTAGAACTTTCGAAAAAACTCTTGGACTGGATAATAAGCCAAAAAGTAAAGAGAAAAAGGCATAACGGTTTTCATTGTAATCGAAGGTGAGGTAAGGTTGATCTGACTTTGCTATTGGAATATTTAAGAATGCATTCTTAATATCTATGGATATTATATAATTGTTGGGTCGAAGTAGTGATTTTACTACTTCGATATTTTTATTTTGAAATGCTGATACAGAATATAACAGTTGAGAGATCTTAAGTCTATAACCAAACAGGATATGCTATTCTTTTTGGGAACCAAAAAGATCTTTGATAAAAAACATAGTATTGTAGATGAGATCTGTTTTATTGCTCCTAATTTTAAAAATTCCTCGATCTTTGATGAGATTTCAAGATTGAAGGTATGGTGAGACATAGATTAAATAGTTAATGGTAGTGGTAAATTCTATTGTATAGAATAGCCGTTGTTTATAACTTTTGTAGCCCAAGAATTTTTGAATAAAGTTACCCAATGTTGTAAATTGTGTTGGGTTTTAAGAAATGACTGAAGGTACAAAGAGGTTGGAACTATTCCTGATTTTGTTCCTGTTTGATATTTGGTTTTTGAAATATATGATTTGTGTATATTGACTCTTTCCAAAAAAAGAGCGTGTATTACCAGGTCTTCGGGTACCGAAACGTGGGTTATATTGACCTCTTCCACGTGACGAAGATGATTCGGAAGATCTAAATTAACTTTTATATTGTAAAGCCTTGTTAACCATTTTGTTCTTTTCATTTTCTTGAGTGATGAGTTCATTAAGTTTTGTGGGTCCGCAAACCTCCTCGTATTCTGCAGGAGGATTATATGATGGGGATATACATTTAATAGTTTGATCTCTACGAATATCATTTGCATATGAAAGACCATTTAATAAAAGACTTCTTGTGTCCATAAGTGATTGTTCTATTGCTTCTCAAGATTCCAGTGCTTCTTTATCATCTTGGTCTGGTTTGGAATCATAAAGTAGATATAAAGTATTGTCAAGGGAACAAAGAGTTGCAGACCATCTATATGCAAGTTTTGAAAGTAATTTGTCTGTCTCTCTTGTTTGTTTTGACATGTTTTTCTAAAGTGTTTTGTCTATGGAAGGAGGTTGGAAGCATATGTTTTTATTGCGGGGTTGTGCTTGTAAAATGAGTTTACGTTCCTCTTGTGAAAGAGTATTGTCTTTATGGATACGTGTAAAAAACTGTAACATTTCTTCTGATGGTTCCCAAGTATAACCTTGTTGCTTATTACCTTGTTGCTCATGACCTTTGTCATGGATTTCTTCAATGGGAGAAACAGTATCTTGAACTTCATTTTGAGGATTTGGTTCTTTTGTATCGCTCATGAGAGGTTTTTTAAGTAAGTGCAAACAGCACCAAGAAAAAAACAGTCTATAGATCACATTAGTATCAATCGCTTATTTATATAATAAAAATGATATAACACAAATTAGCTCTGATAAACTTGGGTCAGCGTCAATAAAAACAGTCAATAGCACGTGATTAGAATCGTATCTTCAAGTGAAGTTCATTTTCTGATTAAAGTTATATTTCTGATTACATAATATTATTATTAATCAAATTTTTTTTTTATCAAACAAATTGCCAAATAACTCATCAGCAGGTATATTCCTATATTCTGTTGATTCTTCTACATTTTTCTTTGCTATACTTTTTCTTTGACTATATGCAGTATTTAAATCCATCTTTAAAACAGAAGTATTCTTGATATTTATCATTGATAATGTAAGTTTTGCTTTTTTTGTTTTATCAGATATATTTGAATGGCTTTTAAATCAAACTTATTGAAAAGCCCTTCAATTTACTGCTAATAAACTACAATATAATATATACTGCATTTGATGAACTCATATAATAAAAGATAGTTATAAATTGGTTTTGAAGAATTTGCAAAATTTACAAATTCAAAAAATTCTGGATCTTTTAGTGCCTCACATAAGCTGAAGTTCTAAAACTCTGTACCTGAATCAATATCATATTCAAGTTCTTGAATATAATATTGTATTTTGGTTGTATTAGAATTCCATGGTATTTAAATAATAACTTTGGCATATGCAAAAGCAAATTCATGTCCATTGTTACCTTCTAGCCAACATATGCTCAAAAATAAATTATCTACATTCCTAATCATGTTTTAAGTGAATCAAATGCTGCATCTACACCAGCAACTAATTTATTAGCTAATAATTAAAATTTATTATCATTAAAACTATTAATGGCATCTAAAAGTTTATCTCCAAAGAAAGAATAAACATTATTTGTAATGGTTACAAGATTTTCAATCCATTGGGCAACTGCATCAGGCATCTCATATGCTCTTCATCCTGGAAGAAGTGTAGTAAGTTCTTTATTAATTTTCAATATTCTAGGAGTAGAGTCAAATCCAGCTAAAAAATTCATTATAGGTTCATATATTTTTTCTCCAAATTTTACTAAACATTTAACTTGAATTTTAAGTAAAGAATCCTTAAGCCAATCATATAATAATTTCTACTGTGAAATATATTTTTTAGGTGCATTTTTATAATTATTAAGTTTTGATATGAACCATTCTACAAATATATTTATTGATTCTCTTCTATGAACTAATTTTCTTGTTTCATTTAACTTATATAACCAATGTTAGTGAAGTGGCTTTTAAAACTTTGTATACTATAATCCAATAAGCTTTTTATACATATCTGATATATAAAAGGCTTTCATATTTATTGGGTTTTCTTTTTTACTTTCATCATACCCATTATGAAGATACCAAATTAAATAAAGTAAATTTACCAAAAACAGCATTTTCAAAATAGGTCATCATAATATATGCTGAATGCATTTCACATGATATTCAAAATAATCTTAATTGTGTTTTATTATTAAATAGTGCAATTGCATCACCTTTGCATCCAGACATATAAGCTGTGTTATCAGTTGTCCAAGTAATACATTTTTTAGAATCTAACTTACAATTTGTACAAGTTTCAATAACTACACCAGCAACAGTTAATCCATTATAGCATAAAAGATTTTTTATTTCTAACATGCTTACATGTAGACAATTTGCACTTGAATTCTAATAACTAAAACAAACTATAAAAATTTTACTATTACCCTGTTTAGATTTGTCTGCCATTATTCCATGTCCAAAGAATTGACTTTGTTCAATTATATTATATTGATTAGAAATATATGTTGTTGTAATATCTTTATGCCACTCTACAAGAGTTTTTGCTAAAAACTATTGATCAGGTTCTTTACCAATTAACCATTTAACAACAGCTTTAATACATTCAATAGCTGATCAAAATAATATTGAACCAATTTGACAAACTTTTATTGCTATTTCAATTGTTTTGTTTGATATTGTTTTTTATTTTTCATTAATTGTTGCTAAACTGTAGCCTTTAATTTTTCTTTACTTATTATAGAAAATTTGTAAGTATTAGAACGTACTTGTAATATATGTTGCTTGCGAATTTGTAAAAACTTTTCAATATATCCATGTAATAACTTATTTTCTGCTTTGATTATAGTTAATTTATATTTTAATAATTCTATAGTTTTATTATTTTCTTTGGTTGTAGCTATATATTCTTCAATATTATAGCTTGTTTGATTGAATGAATATTCAATAAAATTTATTGTCTTGTATTGTAAATACTTCAAAAGAAGTTTACCTTCATTTGGGCCCCTTTTATATTTCATAGTATTCAATAAGGAGGAAGTTAATAATAATTTATCATAATTCATTTGAATTATAATATTGAAGAGTAATGATCGATTTTGTAATAATTTTGAATTATCTTTAAAATCTTGTATATGAATTTGAACAATCTTAATAAGTGAACTTAATGATTGTTCTGTAAAATTTATTATATTATTAGTAATAATACAAATTATTTATTGATATAATTTTATAATTGTAGAGCTAATATTAATATTTTGATAATTAAATTTGTTAAATATTATAATTTATATTTTAATTAGGGAATTGCTATTTCCACCATGGTAATTTGCTATTTCCACCATGGTTACACAAGATTTTCTATTTTTAGATAAT